TGGTTAATAGTAAACTGAATGGTTATAGCATATTAATGTATACTTTGTTATTGTGGGGCTTTTTGTTAAATTATGCTAATTCATTCCTAATACAATACATTCTGTTGTGTAATATTACGGCTCCCCGGTGATAATTTACGTGCTGGGGTATTTTTTTATTTTCTGAAAAGTTGGGATATTTTTTTTATATATGGCAAAAGTTGGGCATTTTTTATTCTTCCTATAGTTTTACATTCAGTTGTGACAGACTTTAATTATCTTTTGCAATTGTGGAATTTCGAGCTTAAGCAAATTGCTTCCAACAGCATCTATACAGATCATTTAATATTACCCAGTAGATCACGGTCTCTTTGATCTAATCTGCAGACGTCTTACGGACATGGCAAACTGCGAGTCAATTTTGCACCGACATAGGGCAGCTCATAAAGTGTGATATCGGCATCAGCAAAATTGAGCACCCATGTTGCATTACTGCTACCAGCATAGTTAATAATAGCTCTCATCTATTCCCATTTTCATAGCTTCAGCCAAAAGAGAACGAGAAGTATTCACTTAGCAGCTTCAGAAGGTACTTGCGAGTACATATGACCTTGATCTTAGGCACACAGCCTAATTTCACTATAACTATGTGGCACAAAGGCCGTCGGCAAAGTAGATGGCTATTGTTGCCTCCTTTGTGTGGTTTCAGCCGTACATTCCCGTCAAGCTACCCGGGTTGTGCGAAGTTTTGCAACGAAGTGTAGACTTAGAGTCATTTTTTCTATTCTGCTTAATTGGTATGGAGTATAAGCTTTCAAGTAACGGCTACAGAAGATGTGCTGTTTAAAGTGACGAGTCGCACTAGGGAATAAAAGAACGTTTGCTGCATTCGTCGTACAGTCGTCAAACGTCGGGGAAAACATCGGTTCCGGTTACACCGCTCAACCTTTCGTTAACTTTTGAAAAACTATTGCTGCGCTAGGTAAACGAAAACTGGTATGAATCCTGGCTGGTCTGTTGTTCGACATGATCCCACTTTTCGTCCATTATTGCAAGTTTGTGCGATAATGTCAAGAGCAAATACTACGCATAGCACATGCTCACAAGCTCCTACTTCTTTTTGCCGACATATGATCGTCGACGCGCGTTAATGCGAAGAAACCCAGTGCATATTGTCAGACGGCACTATTCTAATGTTGAGCTCTTTAATATATCACTGGACGGGATACTTCTGGAAAAAACTGTCATTATTTTCCACAATAGATGCTGTTCGAGCGATCGATTTTGAGTCCAGTAGGGCGCAAAAAACTGCACAAATAGTCAGCCAGCGCTTGAAGATTTCGGCTCATAGTTTCGATCAAATTGGGTGGAAGACTTTTCAAAGATCAAAGACGGCGATCGCGATATTTGAATACGAGTTTTTTATAACGGATGCAACCAACGACTTGTTTAAACCTGAGGCGTTATAAACGACACTAGCACGAAAGCAGCACAGGATTCTACTCATCAAAGCTACAGCTTTTGTGCTGTTCGATTTCATTTTCCAATTTGCCTTGCAATTGATTTCATCTTTAACTCACCATTCTAAGCTACGATGGTAAAATTCAACGTCTCCTTTCTCCTTGCTGCCCTGATCGCGTCCCCCACTGCAGCTGGCTACACCACTCAGTCGACTACCGAGACTGAAGCAATTTGCCAGCAGGAAGTTGATGTGCCGGATATTTGCGACGGAAGCGATGAATGGTACCCTGTGTCGGTGGTCGGTATGGAAGGATACTACTGCGCTAAGGGACCAATATGTGCTGGCGAAAGTGGAAACTGCCCGGGTCCACACCGGGACCTTATTTACGGATCGAGCTGTGTGAGTCTAAGTGAGGGAACATACGGCTGTAGTCCCAACACGGAATGTCCAACTGAGTCCACAGAGCTGAAAGTGCCTGAAGATTGCGAGGTTGTTCTCGACACTCCAGCACCTGTCACTCCTGAAGTGACTACGGAAGCACATTACTACCAGGAGACAGCAACCGTGCCACCCCCTGTGTACACTCCTGAGCCGAAAACTGCCCCGCCTAAGGTTGACACCCCAGAGACGGCAACGGTACCGCCTCCGGTCTACATTCCTCCGCCCAAGGTCGACACTCCAGAGACGGCAACTGTGCCGCCCCCGGTTTACACTCCTCCACCCAAGGTTGACACTCCAGAGACGGCAACGGTACCGCCTCCGGTCTACACTCCTCCACCTAAGGTTGACACTCCAGAGACGGCG